CGCGCCGCCGGCACCCCCCGGCGCCAGGCGCGCAGCAGCCGGCCCCGCATCGCGGCCCTTCCGGCGCTGGGAGATGACGCAAGCAAGATCCCGCCTCGTGGGCGGGGCGAGGGACGTCGCGGTGCCGCCCCTCGGGCTGAGGCGGCGGCGCCATCTTGGTGCAGGGCGGTGCGGAGGCACGGGCAGGGTTGGCCCCGAGCAGCGCTCCGAGCTGGGCTTCGGGGCAGCGTGGTACCCCGCGGGTGGCGCTCCCTGGCCCCGAGGGGGTAGCACCGCGCCGAGGGAAAGGCGAGCGGTCTCGGGGAGCGCAGCCAGGCCTCAGCTCCGGTCTCGGCTGCGCACCCCAAGCGCGGCCTCCAGCCCTGGCTTCTGTCTCTCCACCGCGTCGGTGCTGCCCGAGCGAGCGTCTCCCGTGGCGGTGGACCCCTGACCCTGGCCCTCATGGCCGTAAATTGGCCGCTCTGCCCCGGCGTGAAGATAACGTGGAAAAACGTTGGGGCGGAAAGGGATGTCGACACCGCAGCCGCTGATCTGCTGCTGGCTCCGATGCGGCGTTTGAAAAGCTCATTTCTGCATCTGCCGCTGTGGACAGCTTTGTTTTAACAGTGATTAAAGAATGTTTTCTTGTAAACTCTGGGGTCAGAATAACCAATTAAAGAACTATCATTTCCCATAACATAAGAATGAAAATATTTTATCTTTCTACTAAGAACATTCTTTTCCCTCCTGGGAAAATGGTTTATTTGTGTAGCGTGTCATTTAATGTAAATTACACACACAAGTCCCCTACGCCTGTAAACCACAGTCTATCCTACCGTCTTCGACACTAGAAACAGAGAACGTGAGAATCGGAAAACACTTCCTATATGCCAGTGAAAACATGTAAATTACTGGGAAATTGGGTGAGGATTTATATCAGACGGATACACACGGGAAGGATCGCTAAGGAAAGTGACATTTTGTGCCACGCTAAGCGGTGCTGTGCATATTTATTCCCTTTTTATGTCTGTTTTGCCTGTTGTTAGGGCTTTCTTCTCTCAGACAAAGGAAACCTAATGAAAAAGTGCTGTTATAGGTAAAAAAAGAATGAGTCAGGCCATCCTAACTTACATTCCTGCACCCTGAGAAGAGGAGAATACGCTACTAAATACCGAGGTAATTACCTAGCTGAGAATCAGTGCATAAAAATCAGTTGCTCCAGAAAACGTTATTGCTTGGGGAGCCCCAGGAAAATCCTATTTAGTCGCATGCAGGGCGCTCTTCGATCCCAGCCATCGCATCTCAGGGCGCATCCGTGGTACGGTAAAAATTAAAAAGATAAACAAGAGGGTAGCAGGGCTGAAGGAACGGCTTCTGCTTGAGAGGAGGTTAAAGCAACCAGCGTAGTTCATCTTGGAAAGCGGACGTGGGGGGAAGCGCAGGGGAGCAGTCTGTCTTGTCACGGATAGTACGGAGCTGGTAAACAGGCAACAATTAGTCGTTGTACAATAACGAAGCGATTGCAGGCACTTAACAGATATCAGACCCCAAAAGAGAGGAAGCAGTGTTCCACCCAGCGTGTAATTTGACCGCTTAGATGCTGAAAAAATTTGACCACATAGTATCTCAGATGCTGAAAAATACTCATGGTTTCCACAGAAGCAGACAGCGCGGTTGCTGGAAGGCAGGCTGGAAGGAGGCGTTCTGTGTCGTGCCGGCGAATACCAGCTCTCTGAGGTCTTGGGTGAAACCCTGGATTTATCACCAGCACTTCAGAAAGGCCAGGGACATCCCATGCCTGTCTGGATGGCCCAAATGCCGCCCGAAAGCTGGGAATTTGAAGCCGGCATCCAGCTGCTGCTTAATCTCCAGGTATCGGATCCCGGCACGGGAGGCATTGAACGTGTCAGCGGCACACCGGCACTGTGCGCAGAGCTTCACCTGCTGCTCATCAGGGGACTTAGACCCTGGAGACGGATTCTCAGTTCTGGCAGTAGTTAAGGCTCCTGGAAATACTGAAAGTCCGTGCTGAGATTTTGCCAGACTTGCGCATGAAGTAATTCATGTTTCATCTGCAGTGAGTTTATCGAGTGCAATTACTTGCTCCCAAGTAATTCATCCTCAGCTCTGATATGACTGTACGGTTCAGATTACAGCTATTATTTAGTATTATGCCTTGGACACAGTGTACATGAATTTTAACTGAAGATTTTTTTCGATGTAAATTTTTCCAGCAGACTGAAAGCAACAATCTGATTGTTTCACAAAAAAAAAATAAATAAAAAACAAACAACCCTCACAAGTCTTGCTTTCCTGCTGCATTTGGACTCTGATTTGTACATGAAAAAGAAAAAAAAAAACCAACCCTGAATGTTTAGTTATTCTGTAACCAGGCATTTCGGGTCAAAGACACAGAAGGGATCAAAAAAGATAAGCAAAATTAAAACGCCAAGGTCAGACAAGTTCTTCCTAAGAGTAGTGAAGACAAATCCGAGAAGGAAGCAGAACACAAATCAACGTCCTATCTCCACTTTGCTTCCTAGCCAAAGACACTGAAAGTGTCTCCAAGAAGTAAAAAGATATCTCCCGTTAAAGAGTGCCAGTGTTGTCAAGGGAAATATGAAATAAAACACTCACAGCCATTGCTGAAGACATTGCTCCTGACCGTGTTCGCGGTCCTCTGGGGAAGGAGAGGATTCCTGGGCACAAGGGCTAGCTCTAACCAGTGGGAAACTGGTTTTATTTCCATCACGCTGAGTCCTAAAGGCATCTCGGCCACCTACCTGCATTTTGACACTATTTTTGGGGGGTGAAATAGGAACTGCTGTGCTGGTGCTTGTCCCCGACCCACGCCACTCCACCCCGGGGAGGCGAGCGGAGGTAGCCCGTCACTTCACCGCTGGCTGTGGGACATTGGGCTTGCACGGGCGGCAGTAGGGCTTTGGGGGTCTCCCATATGGGAGGAGCTGTCAGACACCTCTTCTGCAAACAGCCCAAAGGCGGGACGGGACCCAGACGGCCACTGCAGAGCTGCAGAGGTGCCCGTGACTTCCCACGGGGTGCAGGCACTCTGGCTCCTCTGATCAGGTTTCTCCACCTGGTTTCAGAGGCTTCCGGTTTGGCAAATGTGGGTTCTACTGTCACACCCAGCTTCCACACAGCAGTTGGAGAAAATGGTTTTTTTTAATTAAAATACAGATACATAAATCAAGCCGTGTAGGAAACTGGGATGAAAAGGGACCTTCTGGGGCTTTGCAGTCTTCCTCCTCCTGTTACAGTCACCTCTTCGCCATGGCTAGCGTCCCCATCCCTCTACTCAGAGCCTGCACTATGGGGGGCAAGCGGTTTCTTTGCACCTTTCTCAAAGGCAGCGAGCCAGAGGATTTGGTTGTGTAGCCTGTGCGACCGCTTGTTGGCCTGTCACTGTACCCCTTCCCTGGCGATGGAAAGGTCACAAGGACACTGTACAAAAGCGTTCCCTACTGTGATGGCACTTTTTAAATGATCCGACTCGAAATGAGGAGGAAAGACGGCACAATTTACAGCATGTCCCGGCTCGACCTGTCTTCCCCAGCAGAGAGGAGCTCTTGTTTCCCAGAGGATTCGTTTCTGAGTGAGAGCTCCCATGCGATCGCTGCCAGGCTGACACTGAACAGTAAAACATCTCTGTTTGGGGAGTATGCGTGTCTGCTGGTGACATTTCACAGGGGCAGCCGGAGGAGGCTCTGCGTCGGATGTGAGGTGGGATTCAAAGGATTAATCACACTGGAACACGGCTTCAATGCCAAAGACACTGTATTTCAAGCTGGAAAACACTGAGAACAGGACGAACATAAGGAGACTGTGCCCGTCTCCAATTAAGCTTAAGCTAACCAGAGCTAGTTGTGTGCTCCAAACCCATCCCTGAGAGGTATCTAGCTTGCTTTGCAATATGCAGCTCCATCCATGGATCAGATAGTTCAGGGAGGAGGAATCCTCCTTTCCAAATGCGGCTGGCACAAAAAGGCAGCGCATCAGCCATGTGACACTGCAAAGCCTCTTAGTAGCCTGTTGACTTAGCCAACTCTGTTGCCAGTGCCGGTGAAACAGGGACAGCAAAATCTCTGACGGGTGCTCTTGCCAGATGCTCTGAGAGCCTTAGAATGACCATTCACTGGAAAAAAGGGCTAATATCTGCTTTATCAGGACATGCTTCCTTTCTGCAATGAGGACCGAGCCAGGCAGAGCGAACGTTATCATTTATTTTAACCCCAGGGTAACTTATTACTGAGTGTCATTCTACTTGGCGTGCTCTTTTAATACTGATTATGCCAATAGCTTGAGCAAATAAACTGGAAGTTCCTATGGTTCATTCTTTGGGAAAAGGTCGTTCACCCCATGCTGTAAATGGACCCACTAAAGAGGTGTGTATTTTTTTAGGGGCTGGAGCGAACCTCACCTGTTGGACTGGCCTTCACACATGACTCAGGAGCAGAATGAATCACAGCTCATAGCATACCGAGAGTAGGAGGAAAGGCAACTTTGTCGTCGTAGTAAGGCTCTGACGGGTGCTCGGAGGAGACGTCTTCAGATGGCAGGGCTTAAAGAAGAAATGTAGCTTCCTCTCTGCTGGGAACTGCGTGTTTCTGGTGAGTTAGCGGAGATTAACGGACATTCCTGGTGCACTAGCTGGCGGGTTAATTTATAGCTATCTGTAAAGAAAGGCTTATTTATTTATTTCAGTTAGAAAGCTCAGATTCTTTGAAATTTTAAGCAACGGCTGTATGACTTGTTTAAGGAGAGACTGAACGGCAAGTGAGAAGCAGGCTGGGATAACTCCTACATATAAACAGCCTGGAAAGCAGTCAAAGGAAAATATTTAATATAACTCAGATTTGCTCTTTAACTTTTGACTTTACAAAGGTTAAAAAATAGTACAGACTGCATTCTTGCTTTAGTATTTTAAATATTAAACGTTTTTCTTGTGTTCTTTAATTGAACTCGGTTCTTAATGTACCTTTATAAACCAACCCATCCGTTTGTATCTCTGTGGCGTGCCATTGTATATCCTGTATGAATCCCAAAGATAGGGCATCCGACTTTTGTAATATATTTGGAATAACTGACGCATTTTAACACAATCAGTTAAGATAAGATAACCACCAGAAAGAGTCTGAATGACAAGAGGAGACTATTTTACAAAGACTGGGACATTATAAGTGTGTTGCCCCATATTGTGTAGTAAGTAGAGTGTCCAGAGGGACATTATCATCTTAACAGAAGCTGTACTTGATGGTCTTTTCAGAAGACCTTCTTTCCCCATCTTTACTTATATCAATATAAGAAGTACCTCAAGACTTCTCATTTCCAGAGTGAGGGCAACATCTGGCTTGGTAAGCAGCCTCGAGTATTAGGCCTGATAAAAACCAACATACAAAGCACATGGTGGTTTCACAGCACCGCATGCTGTGCCCTGGCTGGAAGCAGTCCACAGGCAGCTGGAGACCTGCGTGTTCCCGCATGGGACAGGCTCCTCGCCAGGTTATGCCAACCTTTAGGACACCGATCCCTCAGCTCTGCCTTGTGTGTGTGGTGGGTCTCCAAAGGCTTCCATCATGGGGAAGGATTTTACCATTTAAGTGCTGGGATCAATATGTAGAGCAAAACTCGGTCACTTGCCATTTTTCTGTATTTTCTTTAGATTTCATAGGGTGCCACCAAAGTCCACAGATCCTCATTTTGAACAAGAGGATTTGGGACAGCATTGGCGAGTGACTCTCTGTTCCTGAAGTATACACAGCATATAAATTTTGCAGGGTTTGATGTGAAAATCTCATTTGCAAAAAGAAAAAAATTACAAAATTGTTCAGGTGTAAATATGAACACAAAATAAGACAGGTAAAATGTTTCCTTGAGAGGTGCTGGCCTCTTTCTTCTTTCCATACAAGCTTAAAATGCATGAGCTTTCTCTCATTTGAGTTCCCCGTGTTGTACCCAAGCTGGGAAGCAACCTCAGAAGGATCTTGGGTGTCTTCAGAGGGCTAGGAGACCAAAGTCCACAGCTCAGAGTTGTCCAAGGCCTGGATCTAAGGGCTCGTCCCCATCCAACAGCAGCCAGAGTGACTGCTGACATGTGTGGGCAAGGGAGCAACAGTGAAGACATCACCCACGCTCCCTCAGCTTGTTTGGTGGAGCAGGGCTCACCCACGCCAGGAGGTGGGCAGTGGGGCAGAGCAGCTGTGTGGGGGAAGCTGGAGGAGATTACTTTAAAAATCTCTCTTTCAGGCTGGAAGATCCAGACCACCAGCCCAATTGTGGGACTCACTGTTTCCTTACTGGGGAAACTGGTGGTGCAGGAAGCGTTCTGGATCCTGCTCAGGCTCTCCGCTGGGGTAGATACGCTGGCCTGAGAACACTTTGTTTTGTAGCTTTGATGAACGAAACTTCCAAAGCTAGTTTGGTCAGTTTGATGTAGATGTAGAAGATATTTAAAATAACGGGGGGTTCCCTTAAAGTCATTTACCTAAATTTCATCTTAACACACACTAAATATCCATTCTGCTACCGTATTGTACCTGAGAAGTTCTGGCCTCCCATGCCTGGGGAAGATTTGGCAGCCACTACTTTATGAAGTAGTGAAGTACTTCTAGCAGCTTTCTAGCATCCCCGCTTTAGTGCAGATGCCAGGAGGTGGCCGACAAGTTATGAAACACCTTAGGAGAAAATCAGCAACATGCACGTAAAATATTCTTGTTCAAGCAAATGATTAGACAGAAGCCTTGCACAGCAAGATTTAACACGTTCAAGTGGCACTTCTCATTAGGGTGTAGCAGACTTGTAACTTGAATTTTTTGGCACTGAGACTTCATTTCCTCCTTTCTGAGGACTGATGCACGTGAATAAGCTCAAGCTTACCTGGACAGTAAGGTAACTGGAATACCTAACTGCAGGGAGCAGCTTTACCCACGTTTTCTGAAATACAGAGTCAAAGCGGACCACCTATTTCAGAGTCCCATCCTCAAAGAATTACTAACAAGTGGTTTTCTGGCAGCAGGGAGCAAGCCTGCATGCCTGGTTGGCTATAAAATGTGAACTTTGAATTGTGAAGACATTGAGAAAGGGAGGAAAATAGTAGCAATCATTAGGTCTATAACCGATAGGACAAATGCTTCCCTGAGGAGTCAGCAGCAGCGTTGTTGACACGCCTGGCACGGTGGAAAGTGCTCGTAAGCGATTTCCAGGGAACAGTTTCAGAAAGTGCCAGGCCACACTACAAAGACAGGTAAAAGTTGAGAGTATCAGACAGTTGTAAAAGTCTAAGTCTTCATATAATAATTAATGGCCCGTGGGGCCAGCATGTCTGAGGGACACGTGTGTTGTGGTGTCCTTCACCTGCGAGTGGGCGACGGTTCAGATGAGGCTGTGAGTGAGCAGTGGTGGAGCAGTGGGCCGGGGAGAGCCACCTAACCATCTCAGAGTAACTCACAGCGGGCAGAGGGAACCCTCTGCTCAGGTCAGGTCCCTCCAAAGGAGGCTGAAGAACCGAGTTGGACAAGCAGTCATAAAAGCTGGATTGATGCCACTGACAAATGAGGGACTAAAGGTCAAGGAGGAGCTTTCTGCTTCCCTGAGGGCTGGGAGATACCTTTGCCTCAAATGGCAAGCCAGCTTCTCCTTCTCTTGGAGCTGAACCCTCCGCTTCCTCATCTCCACACCCTTATTCTGCCATCCATGGCTTGGCAGCAGGTAGTCACTGTCCACAATGTCCGTATTCTCTAAGGATTGTGGCAGGGGAGCAAGGAGGGAAGCAGCGAGGTTGGTTGGGGAGGGGCTGGCGCTCAGCAGCCAAGCTTGCATCTGCACGGGGTCACCTAGGCAAGGGGTCCACCCCAGGCGGCAGACCCTGTGCCTGACCCACTCCGCTATCACCTCAGTGGCTCCCAGGATGTCTGCACCCGTCCTGACAGCTCAGACTCACGTTCACAGAAGAAAACAGATGCCACAGCTGCAGGGGTACATCAGGTGTACATCAGGAGCAGGGAGGGGAATTGGCACGAGCACAGAGTTGTTTAAAAGATCATCACTTCTACTCATGCTTTTGTCTCCTTTTATCTACTGCAGACGCATATAACGTCAGGGCTCCCACTGGTGAAACCAGTGGAACTGCACAGTGGGACCTAGCAGAGGACACTGCGAGGTTATCCCTCACCTCTCGGCTCTCTCTCTTTCCCAGGCATCTGCATGCTGAAGAAAACACTGGTGAAGGCGTGATCCGTCCCAGCTGCGCACACAAATATGAAGTTCTTCTGGATAATCCCATTTTTCCTGCTGCAAGGTAGAGTCTTGGCTTAGAGGATAATAGTGTGGGTGAAGTAGGTCACACATGCTGAGGCTGTGTCTCTTCAAAGGCTCTCACCCACACCAGGCTCAGCAGGGGTTGCAACAAGACATTGTCTGCAGGGCAGGTTCGCGGGAGCTGGATGAACACATGCAAGAGTTTCCAGCATTGTTGCATGACCTTATGAATGCCTCGCTGGCTGAGGGCAAACACAGACAGATAGTAGTATGGCAAAGGCATACATTAAAGACCTTTGCTTTCTGGAAGTACGGTTTCTTCCTCTCCATGGGCCCATTTTGCTCAGTATACACCAGCAGCAGCCTGGCTCAACCATGGAGAAAGTTGCACCCTAAGCCTGTGCTCACAGCACTGTTGCAATCTCTTTGACACCTAGGAAGACACCTGACTTATGGAGATTTGATTTTTTTAAACCCAGTATCAATGTCTGTTGGGACTATCTGCACCTCCACTGCACAGAGGGATGTTCCAACTGGCACTTTAAGGTTAGACAGCAGAACTGGAAAGACTTGAGCCCCAAACCCTTCCCCCCTCGGTTCCCCAGAAGCAGAGTCAGCGGAGGCAGTTCTGAGTTCATCCAGCTGGAGCAGGGCATCAGACCGTCTGTCCCCAGAGGCAAAGCAGAAGCCAGCCATGAGGCTCATCAAAAGGTCTGAGCCTCCTCTGCCTCTTAGGACAAACCAAGAGAGCAGCCTCCCACCTCCTAGAATCAGCAGCAAGATGCTAAGCATGGGCCAGGCTGCGCGGCGCCGTGGGCTGGCCCAGCAGAGCTCAAGTCTAGGAGAGGAGCTGACCATCATCTCTTCTCTGGGGAACAGCTACAGATAGAGCTGCAAACAGAGCTCAGCACCAGTCGCAAGGGCAAGTCTCGCTGGGCTTCCCAGGACCCATCTGAAAGGACGTGCTTGAGCCACATTTGCTGAGAAGCATGGGTTAAGAAAAGCTCAGCTATGAGCCCAGCAGCCCTGGCAGAGAGAAGCTGGACTGGAGGCAGTTTGCCTCTTGAATGCCTTTTACCTTATGCTGATTTCCCAATTCCAGAATTGGGTGTCATTCCCATCTGCCCTATACACTCTGTGTGCGTGTATGTCCTGTGCTTAGGGGGTGGCAACACTCATATGCTGGTTTCTTTGCAGACACTGAAGCTTTTCTGATGAAAAATGCTAAAGTCAAGCTGTGTTTACAAGCCAGCCCGATGAATGGGAATTTACTGCTGGAGGACTGTAATCCAGAGTCAGATTTCCAGGACTGGTCTTGGCAAGGTGATTCTTTGATGAATCACGGCACGCAGAGCTGCCTCTCTGTGGCAGGGGCCGACAGAGTGCAGACTAGTCTCTGCGGCAGCGTGGGCTACACGAGCTGGAACTGCTCGAATTCTCTGCTCTCCCCTCTGGGCAGGAGCCAGGGCTACCTGGTGGCAAACAGGAAAGGAGTCGCTCTCAATAACGTGAGAGGCGTGAAGGCCCAATGGCAAGATTTTGCAGACAGGAGCGTGTGCGAGGAGAAAGCAGGTAAGTGCCACGCAGCCGGGGACCAGTGGGCCACGCGCACACGCTGCTGGGGCGTGTGGAAGGGCACAGTCAGTGTCCTGGGGTCTTTCCAACCCTGGGTGTCCCACCATAATGGGATCTGCAGCGTGAGCCAGAAATGCTCTCTACTTCTTGGTATACGAGATAGGGCTGTGCCTTCACGGCTGCATTCTGCCTGCTTGGAGGGACGTGCTGGGCAACCCTGGGAGCCAAGGGGAAGGCCATTTCTGGCCCGAAGTATTGCCGTGAGCGATCATTGCGTCTTTCTGCTCTTTTCCTCCACAGCCGAGGCAGAGCAAGAGAGGTACTTCCCTGCAGCCCTTGCCAGCACACGTGTGTATGACCACACAGCAGGCAACGCCACCCTTGCGCTGGGCATAGATCAAGAAGAGCTGGAACAGCTGCTCTGGTTCTTCCGCAGCGAAGACTGTAAGTCCCATTGACGTTCCTGGGTTGCGTGTTGAAATAGAGATACGCAGTCCTTGGCTGTTAACCCTCATGCCTAATGGAGATGGCCGAGGGAATTACCCGAGGAGGTGATTTACTCCAGGTATATAAACCCTCAGTCTGACCTCCAGAAGCAGCAGGCCATGGGTGAAGACAGGCATGAGGCTTTACTGAGGTATTGTCTCCTCCCAGAGAGGGGTTCAGCCCCTTTCTAGGCGTAGCCTGCCAAGAGAGCAAAGGTCTGGGATGACCGTTGATTTTGGCAGGGTGGAGGGAGCAGATCGATATGAGCAGGTCAGTGCCCCGAGGATCAATTTCAAAGCCACAAAAATCAAGGACCGAGCATCCGCTGCCATCTGTGCTGCACACCCCAGCCAGTGTTCGAAGGCAAAATCTACCTGCCTGAGCGTGGCAGCGGCGAGAAAGGCTGCGGAGTGGAGGAGCCCTTCTAGCAGTGCTCATGGTGGGATGCTCCAGCTCTCGGCCTTGCTCCCACCCTCTGTCAGAGCCGCTCACAGCTCTCAGGCGAGGCTGCAAAGCCATGCGAGGCAGATGTGGTCAGCGTGAGAGATACAGAGCCCGAGGCGGGGGGCAGAAAGCAGTTGTGTAAGTCTCCTGCCCGGGGAGGGAGAGTTTCCTGAGGTTATCCCCAAAAACGGGACCTGGGTGCTCTGCTCTGGGTGCTGAGCTGGACACCAGCACCTCAGCCCTCATCCTGCAGCCAAGCCATGGCACTCTGAGCTTGGGCATCCTCAGGAAACGCTTGGCCGGGCTCTGTGGGCCACACTGCTCTGTGCACGCTAACGCTGCCTCTCCGTGCTTTCCCGCAGCATCAACGTGGAATTACTCTGTCCTTGCACTTTCCTTCATGGCCATGATTTTGGGTCTTTTCCTTCTGGCCATTAACATTGTGCGAAACAGGTGAGTCAGGAAAATTTGGGCGTCTTTTGGTGTGTGGTGGTGCGCTGAGACCCCCCCCAGGCAGAGAGACGTGGGTTTGGCAGGGCAGGGCAGCATGCTGAGACGCAGGGCAGGAACAAGCCCTGAGCGATGGGGAGAAGAGCAAAGACAAACTCCCTTTGAACCGTGCTTCATTGTAAAACCTTGCCTGACTCCCTGCTCTCCTCATGTGTCACTTGGAGCGAGCCACTTCACTTCTCTGGGCCCTGGATCCTCATCGGTAAAGCGTCTGCGACAGCTCTGCCCAGCCCAACAGGGCTGTTAAACATGTGGTGTGAGGTGCTCTCCCGTAAGTACAGGGCATGTAGGGGCTCCGCAGCAGGACTCCCCAGCCTTTCCCCATCTGCATTCCACAATGTTTCCCTGAGCCATACTGCTGCACAACCACCCTGCAGCTGAGGAGCAACTCGCTGTCTTCTACAGCAAGAAAACTTACATCTGGGTCAGAGCTTTTGTCTTAAAATGAGAGAAAAAGAGCTAATGTTACAAATCTGCCATGCTGTCATTTTACCGACGGCTTGCTGGGTGTTGCTTTGGGCGATGTGGTGCGCTGCGTGTTCTCCAAGCGTAAACCCCGTGGCCGTGTGTACTCAAACACTTCAGACCACTTAAGTGACACAGTGCAGCTGGTGGGGTTTGCCCGTAAGCAGCTGATGTGTTCCCCGGGCCAAGGTGCAAAGCGATGGGTGGAACCGTCGCTGGGGGTACATGCCTGCCCCCAGATGCAGGCTGGGCTCGCTGCTTCAATCCGCATTTCTTTTTTATGCCTTCCCTGCAGGAGAAGGAAGATCGATGCGTATAGAGAAGCAGTGGAAACCACTCAGCAGGCTGAGCTGGAAGTCAAGCAAAGCCTGATGCCTGTGCAGGAATACAGCCCCGCTGAGCTGCAAAAGCAGGAGCCGGTGCTCCAGGATCAGAGACCAGGAGACGTGATGGTCCAGTGGAAGGACGGGACCGTCACGTCTCTGTACACAGAGATCTGAGGATGCCACGTAACGGCAGCTGAAGTCAAACCATTTAGGAATGTATCAGAACGGCTCAATTCACAGTGATGGAAGTTTAAAAATGCAGTTTAGCCTGAGGAAACAAAAGAGAGTAAAAAAGGAAAGCAGCAGAGCTGCACCAGCAGAAGCGGCTCTGGACTGGAGGCAAACCCGTGCCTCCCCCGTTTCAGCTCCCGGCTGGCTGGTCTTTGCCCACTGCGCTCGCCTGCCCCCATCCAGCCCTCGCTCCCGCGCCAGCTTCGCCCCCTCCCTCAGATGCCGCCTGCCTCCGCCGCGAACGGGTGGGAGCCGAGCCGGGGCAGGGGCGGGAGGTGGGAGGCTTTTCCTGGGGTCAGCCAGGGAACGCGCTGCCACGGCCCCTCGGGAAAGCAGCCACGCTGAAGCAGAGGCGCTTTTGTTCTTTTCAGAAATCATCTTTATTAAAATACTTTCCAAAGTGGTTGATCGAAATCCCATATTGAATCTCTCTCTCTATCAGTAAGGTCATATATATATATGTATGTATATATGTACAAATATACATGTGGATATTTTACTCTGCAGAGTAACTGCCACTCCAGGGAGGAGCAGCACATTTAACCTGGTACTGCAAACGAAGCTGAACGCACAGCCCTTGGCCCTGGCTTGGGCCCAGGCAGAGCCTGGGCTGCTTTAGGATTCGCTTCACGCCCTTCACGGGACACGTGTAGAAGCCATAAATTATTTTAAGACATTTTTGGAAATACATCAGTCTTTTAAACAAAGGCTTTTCAGAGCGTGTCCTCCTCAGTGAAGCACCTCTCCTCGCAAAGTCTTTGAAAAGGAACACTATAGCCTAAAAAGTTGATTAAAAAAACAGCTCTTTTGGTATGACTTCTTTCGATGTATGGGAATCAGTTTCAGGACACCTGAGGCCTTTAGTTGGCTGAAACAGTATCTGCATCTTTCTTTTATCTGCATTCCTCCTACTTATTGCTCGGTCAGGGGACCCGTGAGACGAACGAGATGGGTGCCTCCATGCTTGATTAATGATTAATTCCCCCTTCCTGGGCTCCCATCGCTGTGTGCCAGGTGCCCAAGCGGGCTGGGGGGCCCTGGGGACGGCCCTCGCCCTCACGGTGGTGCTCGCAGCTCCGGCTGCTCTGGGAACTGCCCGGATCCGCATGGAAAGCCGGGCTGGCCCCTGGTGCCGGTGGCAGGACAGGGTGCAAACACTGCGGCAGCGCTCGGCCAGGGGGGACGGGAGCCAGGGCAGGGGCAGGCAGTGATGCCACAGCCGATTTCGGACTCTAGGCACCCCGTCTGCTCACCGAATCGTCACCGCGGGCTTTGCCCCGGCGTGGAGACCGGGGCCACCGTCCGCCAGTGGCTGGGGGGGGGCCCCCCGCCCGCCAGTGGCTGCTGTGGCGCCCATGAGTCCATCACGGATGGTCTCAGCCCTTGCAGAGCTGGGGGGACAGGGGTCTCTCGCTGCCACCTCCGCAGCCCGCAGGGACGCGTCCTAAAATATCTTGAAACCTTTCAGCAAGGTGAGTGTGGGAGCTTTCCTCTTGCTCTGAGCCCGCGAGGACTTGACGGTGACCAGCTTGGCCTGGGCCACCGAGGGGATCTCCTTGTAGTTGACGGTGGAGAGGGTGTTGAATGTGCAGCTGGCCAAGCCGTGGTGGGTGGGCAGGGCAACCGGCGTGGCCACCGGCGGGGCGGGGCGCGCCTCGGTGATGAGAAGTGGAGGGAGGGGGAGGCGGCAAAAAAAAAGTGGCCGGATGGGCAGGCTCCGCTCTGCCTGCCGCCGCACCTCCCGCACGGCTTCGTGGAAGACGTGCTGCACCCCCACAAAGTCCTGGCATGCCGACACCTCGTAGAAGAAGCACCCGAACCTGCTCGCCAGGGACATCCCTTCGGCTGCGGGCACCTGCCTGGCAGGAGGGAGGGAGTGGGTGCAGCATCCCTTGGGGTGATGCAACCACCCGAAAAGGGGAGCAAGGGGTGCAGGCGGGGGGCACCACCCGCTCGTCCCCCATCCCGGGACAAGCAGGGGACGCGAGTCCAGAAAAGTTTTGCCTTTCCCCAAATCCCAGAGCAACGGGCTGCGCGGGTCCTTGGGGAATCACGCGACCTCCCGTGCCAGGGATGTGCGCCAGTGACGCAGGGGGCCGGATGCGATGGCAGCGCACTGGGAAGCGGGGAGGAGATGGGTGGGTCCTTGCTGTGGGGAGGGGGAAGCCTCCATGCTGGGAGCATGGGGGGATTTGGCGACGCACAGTGGGGTTCAGCAACGCGCATGACTCGAGGACCCATGGGACCAACACTCAGCACAGCCCCAGAGCGGCACAGAAGGCCAGAAAAACACACCGGGGACATCCAGTCCTGGGAGCGGGGACGGGGCGAGAAAGGGCTCCAGGGAAAGGGCACATCCAGCGGGGAGCGAGGAGCTGGAGCGGGCTCAAGGCCTGCCTGGGGACGGTGACGCTGCCTTACCATGCAGCTGAAAAACATCCCACTGAAAATACCACCGGGCTCAAAATAAACACATCATCCCCCAGGCAGGAGAGCAGGAACCTTGGAGATGTGGGAGGACGTGGCAAATACCAACAGGGGTGGAAATAACCACAAAAAAAAATCAGATTTGGGTTTTGCATCCCAGCCAGAGGGATGGGGGGCTGATCTGTGAGCTCTCCCGCACTGGGAAAAGATAGCTTTGCCCCACGCCCGATACCTGTACTGCTCCATGTCCAGCTTGTTGCCCAGCAGGAGGACGGGGCAGCGGCGCTGGCAGCCCCTCGCGTGCAGGGCGAGGACCTCCAGGTAGCGCTGGCAGCCCTCGAAGCTCTTCCTATCATCGATGCTGTAGACGACGAGGAAGGCACTGGCCCAGCGCAGGTAGCGCTCGCAGTTCCCGGGGCCGTCCTGGGGGCGAGAGGAGCGGCTGAGCCGTGGTCCAGCCGTGGTCCAGCCGGGTCACGCCGGGCGTTTGGCACCAGCGGTGCCCTGGTGCCTCACCTGGTCAGCGGTGTCCATCACCTTCAGCAGCACGGGCTGCTGGTCCACCAGCTCCTCCGAGGCGTAGGTGTCCTCTGCAAGGAGAAGGGTGGTTGTGAAGATGGGCTGGGGTGTCCTGTCTTCCTCAAAGCCAAGCAAAGCCCTGCATGCTTGGAGCACCATGGAAAAAAGCTCATCCCCTGGTGAGGAGCATCTTCCACCAATGCCTCCCACCTCCCTCCTTCCTGAGACAACATTATTTTGGGGGACTGGCGGTGATGCCGCTGGGCAAACCCAGCTGGGAGCAGTTATTTCCCCCCGCATGCTGCAAGCGTGGGCTCCCATGGGAGAAGGAGGGAAGGGAAGGAGCCTGGCGCGGCCATCACTGCACCCGGGGCTCAGCCCTTATCTAAATGCCACGACCTGGCGAGATAAAGCGAGTTGGGGGCTTGACACCGGGGCTGTTTCCCAATAAATCAGGCAAAAGGAGCACCCCTTTCTTTTGGAAGGAGGGCAGGCAGGGAGAGCCGCTCAGCCCTTCCCCTGGGAGGAAGATGCCTTTTCCCAGCCAGGTCCTAACAGATGCGTTTCGGAAAGGTTTTGACGTGGGAAGATGAAACCACATTCCCAAAAAAGATCCAAGGAGGAAAGGATTTATCCTTCTTTCCTAAGAGTCGCTGAGTTATTAGGGGCTGGAGTCAGTTCCTGGACAAGGTCCATATCTCCCTAATGTCCCCGATAAATCATTTATGGTTCTTCCCCGCGCCCTGGAGTCAGGCCTAGGAAAATAGTTATTAATTACTCAAATGAGTGGAAAAAAAAATTGCCCAGAACCGCTCGCTGCAAAGCGCAGCCCCCGGGGCCGCCCGCTCTGCGGCCCCCGCTCGCTGCCCCAGCCCTTCCCCTGCCCGACACCCCCAGGAGCGAGCAGGAGGCAGGAGATGCTCCCCAAGGCCCCCCCAGTAATTCAGCTTTTGGTTTCTTTGGGGCGATGAGAGGAGCCGACGTTCCCCTGTGGGACGTGCCCGCAGAGAGAACGCTGCTTTCACCCCTGTTTTTACAGGGAGGTTTGGGTCAAATCCCACCCTTCCCTTGTTTTTCATGTAATTTTGGGTGTTGGGCTTTTTTTTCCCCTTAAATGCCATGTTCGTAGGAAATGTGGGAGATGGGAAGGATGCTCCGTGGGAGTTCATGGGGGACAACCCGGGGGAAACACCCGCGGAGAAATCGTCTTACCCAAGTTCGGATCATATTCGCTTATGAACCTCTTGGTTAGAAACTTCACGGTCAGGGCTGCAGGAGGTGAAAGAGGTGGGTGAGGCAGGTGGCCCCCCATGCCACCGGCACCCTGGCACCCCCCCAGTGCCCGGCCATCCCCGTGGCAGCGGGGCGCCCATCTCACCTGACTTGCCGGCCCCTCTGCACCCCAGGATGGCCACGTTGCACTCGGCGAGGGGGCTCTGGGGCGGCCGCTCGCCGCCGGCTCGGGGTTTGCCGAACATCGAGGTCATCCTCCGTCCTGCGGGAGAGAGCGGGGGGGACGTGGGGCACCCGCTGCCGTGCTGGACGGGGACCTTCTCGCCGCTTGGCTCATGGGGTGCCCCAGCCTGGGGGGAAGGGGGGCTCAGCAGCACCAGGGAGGGGGATCCACTCTCCTCCATCTGCATCCTGGAGCTGGGGCGGTCGGCATCACCACCCCACGCTGGCAGCCAGCACCCCACCCAAGCAAAACCAGCACCCCCAGCCCTCTGCCCACCCTTCGCACCCCAGAAAGAGAAGAGAAGCGCAGCCTCCCACCTTAAAACCCGCCGCCGGAGGAGACGTGGGGCTCACCAGGGCGCGTGGGGGCCGAGGCCGGGGCCAGGGCTGGGGGAGCAGCGGCCCCTGCCCCGCCGGGGCTGCCGATGAATGAGGCAGGGGGGGGGGGGGGGGGGCGCCCCCGCCCCCGGCCCCCCCCCAGCCCGACAGGCGGAGGCGAGCGCGGCTCCCGCCGCTCGGGCCCCAGCCAAACTCCTTGTAAGGAAAGCTGCCGCGCCGGCGCCGGGCCGGACACGCTGCCCCGGCCTCCCCGAGGACGATCCCCCCAGCAGGGCACGCGCCAGCCCCCGAGCTCCTGGGGCTTTGGGCACAGACCTCTGGCCCCGAAACCCGTTGTGCCTGCGCTTGGTAGCCACCTCGCTGTGTCCGCAGCACCTCACCGAGCCCCCAGAGAGCAAAAGCCCGGTCTCGCTCCCCTGGCTGAGGCCGGTGCACTCATTACACCTCCCGCAGGCAGGAGCAGCACCCAGGAGTGATGCTGCCCACACAGCCACCCTCCTGTCCACCACCCGCCCAGCCCATTTAAGCGCAGACACCTTCTGCTGCTGAAAGAGACTTTGCAGGGGTAAAAAATCCCATTTTTCCACCCAAAAGGCATGATCCCAAGGGGGGAGAGGGGAGCACGGGGAGTACTCACCGCCGCTGCCCGCACCGAGCCATCAGCCAGCACCCAGCGGGCTCAGAGCCCGAGTAGGTGGCGGAGGCTGAAGTCAGCGTTGTCATGGAGATCACAGCCATTTGGGATGGGGCTCAGCGCCCAGGACCACAGGATACGGCCCCTGGGCCGGCCCTGAGGGGTTTCTGTGGGGAACCGTACCCGGGGCTGGGGGGCAAAGGCTGCTCTGTGGCCATGCGGGGCTGCTGCGCCGTTGGGATTATTGCCCGTTAATGCAGGGAGGATATTTTTAAACCCTCCCAAAATAGTCTGGGAGTGTGGAAGTCCCTGCAAGCCCCAGGGATGGGGAGGATGGGGAGGATGAGGAGGATGGAGAGGATGGGGATCGCTCCCCCACAGGGAGCACAGCCCCTCTGGGGACCCCCAGACCCCCTTTGGACACAGGTCAAGGATGCTTAAAAGCAATCAGAGCTAAACGTGGTATTTTAAGCCGGGTACCTGTAAGGACTAATGACAGTAACACAAGGCAAAGCTTTCACCTTCTCCCCTAAACTGAGATTTTTTTGGGGAACCTGCTCGGGCCACGATCCTGGGGCAATGGCTTTGCCATCATGCGGTGCCCCGGGAGCTCCCAGCTGCTGGGATGAGGGGCTAAGGAGGGAGGAAAAAATATACCTTTGGCAAGGTGGATTAAATGATGCATCATTATGCTACTTGCATTAAATTATGCATCCAAAATAAAGACCAGTTGCAGGTGGTGATGGGGGGAATTGGGGGCCTCCTTGCTGGCCCTCTGCGGCACCCCACGGCAGAGGCAAAATGGGATTTCTAGCCAGAAAAAGCTGTGAATAGCACACAAACGAGAGACGTGCCACGAATAACACTTTTCTTCACCGTCAACATCTACATGAATCAGGTGAAGGGGAGGTTGCCTCTGCCCGTGTCTGGGTGTTACAGGGGAGCGGGGTGAGCCCTGCAGCCGGAGGGGACTTTTCCGGAGAGAAGGGGTTTGCTGCACATCATTTTTCTTGCTATGGGATCCCCAGATGAAGCACAGGCTGGTTTATGGCTCCTTGCACCAGCGATGGAGGCTGCCGAGGTTGCTCCACGCCTCCTACCTGGGGAGGGTTGCAAAGAGAACGGCCCCGTAAAGGTCTCTCCCTGCCTCTGGCCATGCTCAGGGGGTGGCAAAGTCCCTTTCCCACGGCCGGGCTGGATGGCACAGAGATTTGCTGATGTCGGTTACATCCCTACAGCCGTAAACCCCACTTTTATAAGAGAAAAATAAAAATAGTGCAGCAACACGTTCTTCCCAGCCACACAAACGTGTTACCCTCCCCGGGGTGGGGACCGTCCCTTTAGGCCATTGCAAGGAGGATGCCCGAGAGAGGGGAGAGTGAAACCCGTCTCCCCCAGGGCGGCCGGGCATCCTCTGTGGGATGAGCCGTGATAGAGCCGGGCATCTCTGCCGTCAACCGCGCCGGCCAGTGACGCCGGAGCCCTGCCTGTGTTTTGGGTGGGCAGCTGAGCTCGGCGGATGCCTTTGAAAGGCCCCGGTCACAAGCTCAGCTATCTTTAGCCGAAGGTATTTATATTACAAGGCAGCAGCGTGGCGGCCGCCAGGCAGCGGAGCAAAGGCATCGAAGGGTGGTGGAGGCAGGAGGGAGCTGCACCAGGGCACAGCACGGAGGGGCAGCGGGTGCTGCTCCCCTTGCCGAGAGCTGCTGAGCCCCCGGGCGAGGATGACCCCAGAGGAGGAAGGCTCCCGGGCAGGGCCCCCAGAGCGGGTGCTCATCCGGGTGGAGGAGCAGTCGTTCTGGGTGGAAAAGACCTTGCTGGTGGAGAGCAGCGAGTACTTCCGTGCCCTCTTCCGCTCAGGCATGAAGGAGAGCACGCAGGAGGAGATCGGGCTGGGGGAGCTGAGCGCGGCCGGGTTCCTCGTCATGCTGCGGGTGCTGGCGGGTGAGAGGCCCATCCTCAGCAGCGAGGAGACCTTCCAGGCGGTCGAGTGTGCCGCCTTCCTGCAGGTGAAACCCTTGGCCAAGTACCTGATCCACTCCATCAACTCCGACAACTGCATCCTGCTGTACCAAGCTGCCGCCATATTCGGTCTCCTGGACCTCTTCCACTGCGCCGCGCTCTACATAAGGGACAGCTACGCCGAGTTGGAGGAGTACCTGGACTGCCTCTCCGCCGACCTGCTGGCCTACGTGGAGACCCTCCTGCCCAGCACCTTCGTGGCGGTAGGAGCCCACACGCCCACCTTCGAGTTCCTGGAGGACCTCTCCAGGACCATCTGCTACCTGGACGAGGAGACCAACACGTGGAGGACCCTCTCCTGCCTGCCGCTGAGCGCCAGCACATTCTTAGCTGGCATGGCGACCATGGATAATAAGATCTACATCGTGGGTGGTGTCTACGGGGCCAGCAAGCAGGTGGTGGAGAGCAGCTTCTGCTACGACGCCGATGCCAACACCTGGAGCGAGTTCCCCAGCCCTCATCAGCTGCGCTACGACGTCAGGCTGGTGGGCCATGAGGGCTACCTCTATGCCATCGGTGGGGAGTATGAGAAGATCTCCCTGAAGTCCGTGGAGAGGTATGATGTGGCCTCCAGCACCTGGACATTCGTCTCCGACCTGCCACAGCCGAGCGCAGCAGCACCCTGCGCCCAAGCCATGGGGCAGATCTTCGTTTGCTTGTGGAAGCCACTGGACACCACCGTTATCTATGAGTATGAGACCCAGCGAGACGCATGGCTTCCCGTCACCGAGCTCAAGCGGCACCAGAGCTACGGGCACTGCATGGTGGCCCACCGTGACAACCTCTACATCATGCGCAACGGCCCCTCGGATGACTTCTTGCGTTGCGTCATCGACTGCTTCAACCTGACATCGCGGCAGTGGACCGCCCTGCCTGGGCAGTTCATGAACAGCAAAGGAGCCCTCTTCACCGCCGTCATCAGGGGTGACACCGTCTACACTGTCAACAAGATGCTGACACTCCTCTACTCCGTGGAAGAGGAGACCTGGAGGTTCAAGAAGGAGCGGGCGGGCTTCCCGCGCAGCGGCTCCCTGCAGACCTTCCTCCTGCGGCTGCCGAGGCGCGACCACGACGTCGCGACGTAGGTGGCCCTCCTGTCCCACGTTGGGATGCTCTCCTTGCACGTGGCCTTGGCTCTGCACCCACCGCTCTGCCGGGCTTCTCTCCTCCTCCGCAGAGCCGTGCTCAGGTCCAGGGACGCGTCACATTGGACCTTGGAGGTGACACTAGACCCTGCCAGAAGGAAAGGGGCTGCAGGCAGCTGCTGCCTGCCTCTGCCTGCACTGCATGGGCTGTGTGCAAAGTCCTACCAGACGTGGGCTCATGAGCCAACCACGTGCAGGGCTTCACGGCTTCTGCAGAGGACAGATACCAGAGATGCAAACACAGGTTTTATTTATTTTGACCGCACTCTGAAGGTGTGCAGCATCCCAGCTCCTCTCTGCTCCAATGGGAAATCATTTGTTATATCCTGGAATTAAAAGGAAAGCTATAAAAACCCCTGTGTTTTTCATTACTCTTGGGGTTTGGGTTTTTTCCCCCCTCCTCTGAAGGAAAATACCTCCTAACAGGGATCCACGTCAAGGCTTGCTCCTGCTCGCTGAATGCTTTTTCAGCTGCAGCTCCGTTTCAGAGCCGTACGTGGGAGCGCAGTTCCCACACAGCCCCGCGCTCCCTGGGGAGGTCTCCACGGCCACTCCCGGCTGCAGCGAGGTCCTGGGAGGAGGAGGGGAGAGGGGAGATGGGGGGGATGAAGGAAAACATCTCCTGAGCATTGGGTGCTTAAGGCACTGAGGGGCTTCTGGGACCTGGGAGCCATCCATCACCCCACCGAGTGCGTTAGCCAGCTATTGTCTCCTCCAGGCTCGTCTGCCAAGCCCCAGCACAGACCCAACGGGTGGCAAGTGCTGGCACTCATTTGAGCCAAGATAGGGTCTTTTTAGGACATGGAAAACCTTGGAAATACAAAAGGGTGCAAAAAGGGAAGGAGAGGAAAGAGCACCACCATTGCACGGTGATGCCAGGCTTGCCGAGGTC